GGCGGCGCCGCGGGCGGGCTGCGGAGGCAGCTGCGGGCGCCGCCGCCGGGCCCCGCCGTGCTGCTGGGCACCCCCGGCGCGCTGCGGGAGGCGCTGCGGCGCCGCTTCCTGGCCCTGGAGAGGCTGCGCTGGATGGTGCTGGACGAGGCGGACTCGCTGATGGACGAGTCCTTCATGGAGCTGCTGGAGGAGGTCCTGGCACACGCGCCGCTGGCCGCCGGCGCTCCCGGGCCAGCCGGTCCCGACGAGGAGAGGACGCAGGTGGTGGTGGTCGGAGCCACCTTCCCCGCGGGGCTCAGCGAGACGCTGGCGAAGTTCACTGACGTGGACCGGTTCGTCACCCTCAGCACCCAGAGCCTGCACCGCCTGCCGCCTCACGTCCAGCAGAAGTTTGTCCGCCTCAAAGGCCGGGACAAGCTGCCCGAACTGCTGCAGCTGCTCAAGGAGCGCCCATCATCTGGCGGGGCTGTTCTCATCTTCTGCAACAGTGCCAGCACTGTCAACTGGCTGGGCTATATCCTGGACGACCACAAAATCAAGCACCTGAGGCTGCAGGGGCAGATGTCAGCGGCTGCTAGAGCTGGCATCTTTGCCTCTTTCCAGAAGGGTGACGTGTCTGTCCTCGTCTGCACTGACCTTGCCTCGCGTGGGCTGGACACCAGCAGTGTGCAGCTGGTGGTCAACTATGACTTCCCAGACACCCTGCAGGACTACCTGCACCGGGCCGGGAGAGTTGGCCGGGTTGGGAGCAAGGCACCTGGAGCTGTGGTTAGTTTTGTCACCCATCGGTGGGATGTGGACCTGGTACGGAAAATAGAGACTGCAGCCCGGAAAAGGACAGGTCTCCCAGGAATGGACTCCATTAATAAACCTTCACCTAAAGGAGGCTGATTCAGGTTGCCAGGCATTCTCTGGTAGGGGCTTACCTTGAGGCCATTAAGGCAGGGTGAATGAGCTGTTGTGTGTAAGGCAGATGGAAAGAATAGGGTTGAGTTTCAGAACCAGGTGATCAGGTTAACTTTGTGCACTGTTCTGGAAGCTCTAGTATTCATTTGCAAAGCCATCACAACATGTGGGTTTCCCAAAGTAAACTAGTAAGTGAGTAACAGGATGCTTTTGGAGAATATTGAGGAATTACTTCATCAGTTGATTTGCTTTACTTATTTTGAGACATAATTTAAATTCAAATCCAAATTAAAGTATGTTTTTATGATATACCATTCTATTGCATTTCATTACTGCCCACCACCATCAGCTGACATTCGTTATTAAAACTGAAAAATTGCTACTGTGGCAGGAGAAAAAACCTGTCCAGTTACAGACACAAAGTACTAAAGGACAAAGGATACTTGATCTTGTGATTGTAGCAGTTCATTTAGAGAATTCTAGACCAGATACCTGTAAAATACAGTGGGAATGAGAAGACACAATAAGGCTTGAGGCTCTTTCAAGGCCTTAATTTGTTATTTTATGGTTACCTTTCACTGAGAAATGGGATCTTGCTCCTTCATGTTATATTAAATAAAAAGCCCTAAAGTGCTTCCTGTACATTTTTTTCTGCGTACTGTAGTGACATGTATGGTTTCTGAACTGACTGTAAAAAAACCCCAATCCCAGCACACTGAAAGATGTCTTCTGTTAAATAAAAGAAGTGTGTTGACTCACAGGTTCTAGTGACTCTCATGTAACAGAGTGAGTGTCAGATTTCTTTTGAATGTTGTGCCTTTGTCCTATTTTGCTTCCAACCAAGAGAGTTGAAGTGAGGCTGAGGTTCTTTCACGTCTAGCTGCTAGTTTTTATCCGTGGTAAATAGTCAAACAAATAAGCATTTTAGCTTTGATTTCTGTTGCAGTGATTTTCCACAACCCTTTCTTTTGGTGGCTGTTTTTCTCATGCTCTCCACTTTAGGCTGTGCAATCACTGGGAATGTAGAAATAGTAGATTTCTACACTATGGTAAATGAGAAGATTACAGCATTGGATCTAAATCTAGTTCTTGAGGAAATAATTCACTGGAGCTACTCTCAGTATACTGAGAATAAAAGTTAAAGAGAATATTTGCACAGATAGTTATCCAAGGATCAGGCAGTGATTTATCCTATTGTATATGTGCTATGTTCATATTGCACAGTTAGAGGGCTCTTAAAGAAGTTACAAACGACAGTAAATTATTTAACACAATAGCTCCCAAGTTTTAGAAATATAGTGAAAGAGTGATCCATTTGTAGACTGGAAACCCATTCATTGCATGGACAGCAAATAATTTGTAGTTTACCTTCTGTAACTCACATTTTTACAGTCTATGAACACATCAGTCTGGATTGCAGGACACAGAAATACTGAATTAGACAACACAGTGAAATAATGAAATTATTTCAGCCATTTGCTTCCTACTTTTGAAGTAATATGCACTTCATATAGTTACAAGTAATAACCTTGAACATAGTACAAATGCCCTTACCTTTTGTTGCTAGAGCACTGTTGATAACAATAGTTTGTCAAAAAACCCAAACAACTCAAAAAAACCCTCACCACAAATTTCAGGCATTTATATACTAAAGTGGCTAGTAAAAAGTCTTGGGTAGATAGATTGAAGAGAATACTATATTTACCAACAAAACCTTTTGTAGACAGTACTTTCAAAAAAAGCCACAGTTTTTTAAGCATATATTGAGAAATACCACTTTGGTATTGTTGCTCACAAAGAGACAGTTGCTGGAGCCAATGATTAAAGCAGTAATTACACACAGGAGCACACTAACACTCACTCTAGGATGTAAAAGCTGATTCAGAGCCACCAGATGTAGACAGCCACAGCACTGACTCATCATCATGTGAAAGATGTAGTTGCCCAATAAGTAAATGCTACAACAAAGCCTTCAAGGGGATTTAGAGACCCTACCCCCAGTAGTGAGTTAAATGTGTATGCAGCTCACACATGGTCAAATTTTTTGAAGAAACAAAGACATCCAAAGGCTTTAGTTTGACTTCTCCCAAACTGCTCTCACATCACTCCTTGTTCACCTCTCAGTGACTGTCTACAGATGTAATTCACTGCTGTCCTCTTGTCTGTACATATTCTATCCTCTGTATAAATTTTGCTTTAGATCCTATGGTCATAACTACAACTTCATTTGGGCTTTATCTTATGGGCATTCAGGTAATCCTGTTGCACATAGCCCAGTGTCTAGCAAGGTACCCTAGGACAGGCTCTGTCACGTCATCGCAGCGAGAGGGAAATATGTCTTCTATCACTCCAGTAACCTGGCAAAGTCCACACTTCTGCAGACTCCACTGCTCCCTGGAATACACTTGCATGCATGTTCTCCCCAGACAGAACCCTCTTCCCTCCTCTTCCTCCTGAAAGGTCTTTGTGAGCCCAGCTTACACGTTTGTGGTGGAGTGGGTGGTAGAGAAGTTCTCCATGCGCACTCTGGCCAGTTTCTCAGCGGCTGCCGGCCGCAGGAAGAGCTTGCAGGTGAAGACTTGGCGGCAGGCCTTGCGGAAATTCTCCGAGAGGAAAGCGTAAAGGATGGGGTTGATGCAAGAGTTCCCGTAGGCCAAGCAGTGAGAGATGATGCGGAAGGTGAAGGAGATGTTGTTCAGAGGAAAGTGACCAAACTCTGCCCACATGGTGATGATGTGGTGTGGCAGCCAGGAGAGCAGGAACACAGCAACCACGAGAAGCACTGTCTGCGCTGTCTGGAGAAGAGAAGATCGTGTGTTAAATGGTTACAGTGAGCAGGCCAGTCTGTGCAATGAGTGAATTTACTTTCCTCTGTCAGTACTGAAGGCAGAATAACACAGGCAACACTGACAGCTGCCAGGTGGGCAAATCATGACAATATGAAAAAGGATGCTAAAAACCCTGGTAAACTTGGACTGGTTGGTTTTGGCTCAAGCAAATAACTATAGACAGTTGAGGTAGTGCCCGTAAAACTGCAAGCAGTCCAAAAGCTGCAACAATGCTAACTGTGTTACAAGTAAGAGTGGAAATAATAGTCCCTAACAGTTGGAGGGTGAGGGACATTGAGGCTATTGAAAATAACTGCAGGGGAAAACAACTTCCAAGTAAGCACAGCACTGAGAGGAGTAACAAACGTGCCCTGAGGACAAAGGTTTTTCCAGTATTGTCCCTATTATGGAATAAACTCAGAAAACCAATGCATAGAGGA